CCCGCCCGTGCGCGTCGCCAATTATTTATAAGCTTGCTCGTAAACAGATTTCAGAGGGCCAATGACAGCTTTACTAGCGAGTAATCGCCGTTGGCAATCTGCCACCGTTTCAACCATTTCCGAATGCTTACATCTCATAAAAAAAGAATTATGTTTGCCCATCTAGTCACTGGATGAGTTCTATCGATCATGTGAGCTGAACGTTATCAGTCAAGGGGCGTAATTTCTTAACCATTTTGCTGATATTAGAACTGATTATTTAATTCCAGTTGCAACTGTGGTTATCTTTAGCCTTCAGATTTCATCGAAGCTAGGGCCATTATACAGTAGAAAGAATAACCATTTACTTTGAAATTTGAATCAGGAAAAATTGAAAATATTTGAGTCCTTTTTCAAATACAGTAAGACGATCTTATTAACCAGAAAAAATGCATGGTTTTATGGAGGTGCATTTTTGAAGGAGAAACAAGAGGCGGGCACTGTGAGCATATCAAGCCACCAATGTACCAAATACAGGACGTTGAGGTGATACCTGGATGGGATGGGAAAAGCCCAGTACCAGTTCGAAAAATTACGACAAATTACATCGATGGTACGGCAGATTATTTGGTATGATTTTTAGTAACCAAGAACGCTCGGAGTTTAAGATAGGCGTGCATCCTCGGGGTTCTTGTCATGTAGCAACTATGAAGAAAGTAGCAAATTTAAATTGGGATAACAGACGATTCTGTCGTCAAGCAGTCATTGTTTGAAAAATTTATTGGCAGAATCAGAAGGCAACAACAAAAATATCACAACTAATATGTGTAGCGGAAGAGGAAAAAAGTGCTTCTGGTGTCATTCAGTCACAGAACGACGAAGGAATTTCTCGTGAAAGATTTTTTAAGTGCTTTTATGCAGCGCAGTTTTGATAGGCCTTTTTGCTTTGGATCATTTGCATCTGCTCTTCCATTCACATTCTCAAAACCAGGGAAGTTCGAGAGGATTTTCATTCATCAGTTTAAGAAAGAGAAGGATTTGTAAATTTGATCCTGTCTGAATTCATTCACACCAAAAACATTTGTCCTTTGTCCTGAGCGCATTTTGGCAGTTTGCGCTGCTTCCTGAACAATATAACAGAGGAAAGCGCAGAAGTACCAAATGATGGGATCTAACGATTTTTAGCAAGCGAAACAGTAAGAAATTCATAAATCAGCATTCTTTGACACATATCCATAAAATTCAACGTATTGAGCGATTGGTAGCCTAGAAACTGAAAAATGCACTAGGTTATATTGCTTAGGTTATATATGTTACCAGGTTGTGCTAAAATCCATATTTATTCTGACCAGTGTCCAATAGTCGTAAAAGATTGCTACACGGACTAAGTGTCTGGTCTGGGATGGGCTCATCTTCACTGCACCCTGATTCTTTAGATGGTGAAGCGTTATCCGTTAAACACGGATTTATCCATCAAGCGTTATCCGCTTACCTTCTCCTTCGGCCCTTATGTTCCAATGGCTAGAAATCTGGGCATTTATCCTGCACGCATGTTATTCATAAATGAGGAACCACGACATGTGAAGTGCATTTTTTCCATTTTCACTAAATTTTTACGTATAGCCGTGATAATGCCATGCAGCAAAGGTAAGCATTTGCGGATAACAAGTGCACGTGTTACTGTAACTGGATTGTGCATGTAACACGCTCGTGATTACACCTCAGCAGAACTAAATTTCGTAACCCCGATAGCTCAGAGAAACTGAAGGGTCTGGTTGGATTATCATCTCACAGCTGCAAATTCGGACCCTGGCGAATGGCCGGTGCAGGATCTGCGAAATCATTATTAGTTCAACTGGAATGTTCATGATTTACATTGTTGCAATTAACCTGGTCTTCAATTTTCCATTTCTTCAAAGAATTAGCTGCTTACACATTCAGTTTTAGTGCGGTAAAAGTTAGAAGAATAATAGATGTAAGATGAAGACGTGGGAGGAAAAATTTACTTTCGCTGAGGTATTCCTGTTTTCCTCTTTCTTACCGAATGTGGAAGTCTTCCATTAAAAT